GAAATTTTGCAACTGAGAGTTTGCCTAAGACCCGAGCTTCGCGTATGGTTTGAAGCAAATGCTATTCAAACCTTCATTTGAAGCATAGTTTTGAAGTAGGTGTTAGCAACAATTTGTTTTGTTGAAGTTCTTCTGAGCATTCCTTTATTTTGAACTAGGTAGGACTTGACGAGTCTGTCGGTGGAATGTTCAGCATTAAAAACCTGATTTATGTGTGTTAGTTTAGGAAGTGTTAAGCACTTGTAGTCAGTGTAACCAGCAAGACAAGTGTGTTCTGGCCTGCGTAGTGGAGAAACTCCATTTTTAGATTGTAAGTCTGCCAGAAGAGCCTAAAGAGATATTAATGGACCGGATCCGAGAGGAGAGTACTCAAGTGTAACAGTATTTCTAATGCAGTGCAGTGCGTACATTAGAAGATAAGAGATATTAATAAAATTTGCTCGAACTACATAGGTGTTGGAGAGGAGGAGAGCACTGCAGTGACGCTCTATGCTCCCCTGAAACCAAGGTAGTTGTGGGAAAAAATACTGGGGTTTAAATTCCGTAGCTGAAATGTTCAAGCATAAGAACTTTATTTTTCATTCAGATCAAGATATGTGGATGATGCGGGTGAAACCAGAGAGCAAATTCCCTCAAAGATAGCAGGGCATTAGAGCAGCAGAACATTAATTCTGAGAAATGCATGTTCAGTTCTCCAAGAGCTGTACAAGTTTAGTGCTCAGTGCTTCCACGGAGTTTACGTATAAAGTAGAAAATCTGTGCAGTACATAAAAATGAGAAAGAAAAGAGGAAGAAAATATATTTATGACATGATTCATTAGGCTCTGATAAAGTTACTAACGTCTTCAGTTTTAGATGTGTGTGTTTTGTGAGTGGATCTGTGTTGTTGTCTTGGACAGCGACTTCCTGAGGCTTCTTTCTTCAAATGGTTTGTTTTAATAGGATTTTTGCATAAATGCTTTTACATATATTGCTTTTTAAGACTTCTTACATCTTTAAGGCTGCATGTTGTTTCAGAGCTGTTGGAATTTTGTCATGAGTAGAAATATGGAGAATCATGATGAGCGTATAACCGTATATAAATTTGTTTTTTTATTCTGAGTCATTTGGATAAGGCTGTTAATGGGGTTTTTAACTCCTTGACAGCAAACACGGAGAAACAAAATCTCTCCACACGCAGAATAAGTATGTACCCAGTGCTTTCAAGTTTACTAATCTAAGCTTTAAGTATTGCCGTGGCTAACTTGATATTATCCTTTTCCAGCTAGATATGCCTACTGAGCAGATAGTAGCCAATCTGAAGGCAGTTATCAACGATATCTGCACGTTCAAGCCATCGACTTACGGTAAGCAGCCGTTCTTCTAATGTGGTAGTTGAATTTACGGCAAACAGAATCGAGGAAGGAGTCTTCTTGACCTTGCTGCTTTGTCTGCCTTGGGAGACCATTTCTAATTTATTGATTGGGTTTTTTTGTTTGTTTTTCCTGTTACCAAGATATTTTTAAAACTGCCTCTGCTCCAGGGGAAAAGCTCTTGATTTTCTATTTGCTTTGCTTGTAATTCCCCAGCAAAAGGATCACGTTAGAAAGGAGTTAAGGTGTGAATCCTGTGTCTTGTTTGTGTGGCTTCTGCTTACAGTTCAGAGTAAAGAATGTGCCCTTGGTCGTAATGAAATAAGCTGTAAAGAAATGTCATCTGCTTAGCTGGAGTGGAAATGGTGATTTATGAACATAATTTTGTGGATGAATAGCTTTGTTTAAGCTAAGAAAACAACTTTTTATATCGATACTGGCTTTCTGGTTGCAAAAAGAATCATCTTGAGTTTCTTCTGGTGATGCTGTTAGCAATACTTGCTGTACAGAGAACAGACCATGAAAAGCCAAGTACCTACAACTTTAGAAGCATTTCAGCATAAATAAGAAGGGCTTGGTTAACTTGAAATCTAAGTAAATAAAAGCAGAAAGTGGCGGTATTTTTGTTCTTAATGAGTTTGAGTGTGAACTACACCAACTCGTTAAACGAGGGTAAGCTCTCCTGGGTTTAGTAGCATTCCTACTCGTTTTTTGTGGTGAGTCTCTTATTGGCTTGATTAAAAATATCTGCTGCTCATAGAAAGCAAACGATAATTAATGCCTCTTTACAACAGTGAGTTCTAAATACAGTTGCAAACTATTGGTCTTGTGGACTAACTAGTTATAGAAACCTGTTTTTGAGTTCCTTTCAGACTTTCCGTATGTGAGAGCATGTTTTTGTGCAGCTAGTTAGTTATTGCTAAAATGGCATTCCTCCGCAAGTCACTTGATCTAATACAAGACTAAAACCACCACCAGGCAAATGTTCTCAGACTATAATGCAGATCTATTTAATCTTCCGTGGAGAAATCTGATGGTTTTGTAGTTCCTCTTGTCAAAAATTTTCCTCAGTGTTTCATGGTAGGATCCTGAACTGCCAGTCAGGACCACTTCCCAAAGTGAGTTCACTTGGATTTTATTTTATTTATTTTTTTTCTTGGAGGAATGTGTTTGTAAATCTCTACGTGTTTGTTCTAAGGCCCAGGGGTGCAAGGGTGATGTCAACTGCTGGTGAGGCACCGAAGGAGAAGGTAGCCCTGAAGTCATAGAATCATTCAGGTTGGAAAAGACCCTTGGGATCATCGAGTCCAACCATTAACCCTACTCTCCAAAACTCACCATTAAACCATATTCCCCAACACCTAAACTTTTTAAGGCATGAGGGTGTGAAAGGCATTTGGAACCTGATCTCTCTTTGTGCTGAGGGGATGTATCTACGTAGATAGTTCCGATTCTGGTCATGAGCTTGACACAGTCTGAATTAGTACTAAGATAAATCAGCCTGGAAATGTGACAAGTGGCCAAGAGTGACTGAATTGATGGTGTTCTTTGCTTTCCAGATCCTATTGTGCAGAAGTTGGTTATCAGATCTTCAACAAGTGAAGGTTTGCTATTGAACCTTGATGGAATTCTACCTCAGCTGGAGAAAGTAGAAGAAAAAGAAGAAACTGCTGAAGATAAAGAAGAAAAAGATGTCAAAGAATCTGTTAGTACCTGATGTGTTTTCGTGTAGGTCTGATGATCAAGCTCAGGAAGCAAGTGGTGTAACGAGAATCATACTTGATGAAAAGAAAAGCAAAATCTAACTTGTGAATTTCACTTGTAAATTCTGTGTAACAAGGAACATTGTCATAAATGAATCTGTCAAAACAGAACGCATTTTAAATTCCTGCTGTTGGTAGCTGAAAGCTCTCTAGTTTGTGTGGGATTCTTTTTTTTTTGCATGTAGTATTTCTTTAATAAAATTATTTCTGGAACTTGGATGTAATGCCATCTAATTTCCACAGTTGCAGCTGAAAGGCCGGCATGTTTTCTCGGTAACGCTGGGCTTGTTACTCTGTTGAGATTGCCAAATGCTCAAGGCTTTTGTTGTCTTGACTCGGTCTCCCCCCAGAGCAGCTCATGCTATTGATTTGGGAGGCTGCTGTATAATTTGCCCATGAAGGAAACTGGCTTTTATTTACCATTCTGTTTTTCTGCAGAGTCAGGCGTGGTGTTCCTTGGGAGTTGCTGGGAGTAACGTCTGCGTGATATTTGCGCTATCTCACTTTGTTTTCATTGAATTACTGCTCTGCTCCTTTGAGCCTCTCAATGCAGGTTAGTCTTTGTGACAGATTGTAATAGGTAAGGTTTCTCTGAGGAAAAATTACGTGCGTTCTGTGGGAGGCATAACCATACACCTTATCTTTCAAATAATATTTCATCTATGTGTAGCTGATATGATGCCCCTGAGGCAATCCAGTCAGTTGTTGGCACTATCCTGGAAAGAATTAGGCTTAAAATGGTTGGAGAGTTGATTGAAGCTACAAAGCTTAAGTGTTGCTTCTTTGTTTTCTGTGGTAGAGGTGGGTCTTGATGGGCTTCTTAAGAACCGCTTGGGACAAGTGGATGAATCTGGGGGAGTGGGGGCAGCTTCACAACAAGCGGTAGCAGATCTCTTTTTCCGTACAGGTGACGCTCAGAGCAAGACTCCTGTGCTCTATTTCCTGATGAGATTTTTGGTTTTTTTGCCTACAAATGCTCACTGATGCCTGGTGTGGATTTCAAGTGTTAACATCTGATGATGAAGAGCATGTACTTAATGGGAGCAGTGAGTAACTAGGAGGTGTAGGGCTGTGGTCCTGTCATCTTGGAGATGCCGTGGGCTCTTGAGGCCTGGCTGCAAGACACTCATTTTCCCCATGACTGGATGGAGGCTTTATGTGTCTTCTGCCCGCGCGTGGCAGAGCGAAAGGCTGTGGGGGTCCCCTTTGCCTACTTACCTGCTTAACTTAATTCCTCTGACAATTAATAACTACACATACTGCTTAGATTTGGTGGGAAGGGTTGACAATCAGCACTCCTGAATTGTTACGAAGGTCTCTTTCTACCAGTGATGCCCTTTGGCACGGGTGGTTGCTTCCCAGTATTAGAGTTGAACTCTTGTTGGGGTTAGGCTTGTAAAACACATTAGAAGGGTCAACTTGGGGGTAATTTTTTGCTTGGAGTGTTGTTCTTTGGGGCTGGTTGGTGTGGGTCAAACAGATGAAAAAGCCAACCCTTTTTCCCAACGCCTCTTCTCAAGTGTGTTTGTAATGGGAGCGCAGCGATTCTGCCTGACTCAGTTGGGTCTGTGGCAATTGCTGTGCCGCCTTGTTTTGCTTAACTTGCTTTCCTCCTATTTCAGGTAAATTGGAGAGTAGCATGAATACCCATGCATCTTTTTTAACTGTTTAAAAATAGGTTTGTTTACCTTTGCACAATTCCTTTCCTAGTTTTTTCCACGGTGTTTCCAGCAGGTGGCACTCTTGTTCCCTTCTCTAGAGATGTGTGAAGAGTCTGGGTGGGATTTTTCTTCTTTTTTGGGGCGGGGATTTTGTTGTTAAACACCTGACAGCACAACTACACCCTAAAAGTGTAAGATGATTCCAGAAAGGATTGGCTGTTTGTGAAAAGGATGAGCTTATCCAGCTCTGGAAGGGTGGCTTGTGTTTGTGGCTTTATATCAATCCTATTATTGGAGGCAGGGCTCTTTATTTTTTTTTTTTTTTAAAAAAAAGACTGGCAAAAATATTCTCAAATCTGTTCAGCCATGTGAACTGCCCTAAATGTCCCATTTGGTTCATATCTTCTTACATCAGGAATTGGTGGTGAGGCAGCTGGGGATGGTAGTCGCTTGTAAGTATGTTTAGAATGGATAACGTCTTCATGTCTTTTTTTTTTTTCCCCCTCCTCTTCTTTTTTCCTTCTGCTGTTCTGCAGAAATTCAAATTGTGGAGTAAAGCTTTTCCATCTTTATAATACCGAATGTTTTAGTTTATATTCTGGGGCACCAGGCAAATTTCACAACAAAGTAGGTAACCAAGAGGAAAAAATTCTTCTAATTGTTCCAAATCTGTGGGTTTTTTTCCCCTGCACCCTATGCCTTAAGTAACTGGTTACTGGTAGTTGTATAGTGGCAAGTCTAGTCTATGCCAACACAGAATGGGGTAGCAACTTATTTGATCTGCAGCAAAAGGCTTCACTACTTAAGGCAAAATTTACGTAGACTTTTTTTTGCTAGCAAAAAAAGAAAATAATCATGTCCTAAGTTCCTCATCTGCAAAATGTCTGGCTTCATTAGCTCAAGTGCAGAATCCTCTGCAAGGGCATCAGGCTGTCACGTTTTTCTCCTTGGAGTTTGTGCTCACGTGAACGGAAAAGATGGAGCCGTGGCCACGTGCTTTGTTTTGAAGACCTGGTTCTTAATTTACCTACATCTCAACTGGATCACGAGCGGTTGGTTAACACTGAATTCTAGCAAAAAGTAGGATGGTGTTTTACAGGAATGCTGTTCTGCCTTGAAAATATCATTTTGTGAATGTGCATGTGAAGAGTGTTTTTATTACTGATGAATTCCATATACCAAGGTTATTATGAAATATCACAGAATGGCCTAGGTTGGAAGGGACCTTAGAGATCATTTATGATAGCCATGTGCTTTTTGCATGCTGAAAGAACAACATGAAGGTAAGTTATCTGCTGGTGTTGAAAAGCAAGGTTTGTCATAACATTTGCATAGGTTTCTTAGTTTTTTGATTGGTTTCTTTTTCTTGGCTTATCTCAAAAACTGTACTACCTGTTACAGAAAAAGGTAGACTTGCCCTTTAGAAGATGGGTGGCTTATAACAAAAAAAAAGTGATACTTGAGCATAAATATACAGGCGAGCTTAAATCATAAGCTCTCAGGCTGCGGAGTGTACTTCCAAAGATTCAAGGTGTGGCATAATCAACATTCCTGCAGAAATCTGTGTTTGCAAAATTGATATAGTATGCGAATACTGCAAATCTGAACCTCTAGAAGTCGAGGGGAGGAAAAGAAAAAACAAACAGTAGCTCATCAACTCAGCAAATTTTTGGCTGCATTTGTCCAGGTGTAATCCTGCAGCCCTGCATACGTGTAGCTGTGCTACTAATTGATAAAGTAATAATGCCCCTGGTCGTGTAATACTGTAATAACACTGTACACGCTGTCAAGTGTGTTATGAGTTTGATCCCCAAATACTTGATCGGCGCAGAGGAGAGATGAAAGGGAGGAAGGCAACATGAGATTATTCCACTTTAATAAGCTTAGTCCCAAAACATACAGAGTGGGAATTGTTGTACATGTGGGGGTTTTGTGCCAATATGCCTTAGAAACCAGTATAATTGTTACAGTAAGCGTAACTAAAATGGCATTGCTGGTTTCTAGAAATTTAATACTGCAAAGAGCAGGTTTGTAACGCTGTAGTGGTTTCTCATTAGTTAGAATAGTACATAAATAGGTTATCTGTCCTGAATGTTGACTTCTTGTAAGCCCTTTTATAATAGGAGGCACCCTTTTGACCAGAGTTCTGATTAATGAGTGCTTGATACTCCTTCGGTAGGTCAGTAGAGCACAGATCTTCTATCAAAAGCAAAATGGCAATGACGCAGGACCTGGTTACCCAGATACCAGAAGTCAAGTCAGAGAGGACGTGTTAGGAGGCGTTAACTGGTCCACACTAGCCGCTCCTGTGTGACGTTACCTGCAGCCCAGGGAACCTTATTTCAAGTAAGTTACTCCACAATGAAAGGTACTCTAGGCCAGCTCTGCACAGGAGAGCACATACTCTTGGTTCCTGCGGAGCAGCTGGCAAGTTTCTAGATGTTATTTCCAATTACCAAGCTCATCTCAGCAAGAAGGGAGTGACTGGAAGGATGACATCCTTTTCTCTTATACCACAAAAGTTAAGATGGCCAGGGAGTGTGCCCTGGTTGTCTCCCAAAAAGCTTTGCATTTATTGGGGAATTTACCCTTCCTTCTCTCCTATCTTATTTTTAGTTGCAGAATTTGGTTGGCAGCTTTGTTGAAAACAAAAATATTTCTTGGGGAGGTATCAGTTCACAGCATTTCAGGTCACAGCCTCTTTGCCTTTAAAAGTGGGCTCTTAATGACGGTAAGAAAGCAGGAGCTGCTGTAAGGGGCTTGGAATCCTCACTATTTATGAGTCTTGAAAAAATTCCCTGGTGTTCCTTGTGGAAAAAAGGGAGTGCTGCAATACGTTTAGTAATGTGAGTGATGGATGATTGCTTTTAAAAATGTGTTATATGAAACTGCTGTTAGTGTAACTAAGGAGGAGCAGGCAATGAGCTTGGATTCGTAGACAGTGCGTACAGAAACATTTGCCCAAACAAGGAAGAAATTGCCATCAAGGCACGCACACGTTTGTGGGGAATGAAGGGTTTAGGCTCACACTCAGCCCAAACCTGGACTTGTATGGGAGTTGGTTGTGCCTCCAAGAACTTCAAATCTGTATAGGTCAAACAGACTTCACAGGGCTTTTACTATAAATTATGGCATGGAGGCCAAGTTAGAAGAGTGTGACAGGGGTTTTAAAAAAGCTGTGTTCAAAAGCGATGTAACAAACGTCAGTATCTCTGTATCCACTGGGGGTTTTCCTAGGTGCTAGTGGTTAGAACTAGCACCAGTCCCACGGTTGCTCTTCTGTACTGTAGCTG